AATAGTGGAATTTATTCCAACGGAGCTAAAGGGATGCTTATCTTATAAATTCGCATACGGTTGCTTTATGTTGAAAAGAGTTGGACATGCAAATTGATGATAACTTTTTTAAAGATATTTACAAATTTCATCCCAGGATTACTGCTTGAGCTTGGATGGTTAATTTAAACCACAAACAGTTAGGGTTCGGAGGTATTTCTTCCCACGTCATGCAGATCGGCTTTGGTGGATGTACTTCCCTCACAGTTTTGAGTGGTGTCTTCGGCTTTTAGATATTAAAAATCCCGTTTGGCCCTTGTAAACTCCTATCCGTGTCCAGTTTTCAGGACTAAAGAGGACGTTGTGGAGACTGGTTGGAGTGGTGTGAAACAAAAAGGAAACCATGATTTTAATGATGTTATTTCCTTAGCGTGCATAAGGTAGCCAAAGCCTTTTTCCTTTCGACATGGATACGTGTGTGAGTTTAGGATCCTAATCATGTCTGTCGATGATTATTTTGTTGTCATGCCATCATTCCCATGCGTTTCGATGAGGGCACATTCTATTTGACTATTATCAGCCCCGGAATGTCTGATGACTAATCATCAGCAGTAGAAGGGTTCGGGGAGTTGTTTACCTGTTGGTTTATTATCCGCTGATTCATTTTTTGCCCTTTCCAGGTTGGCTTCCTGGACCGAATGATAAGTGTGATAGAAAGCTTCTTGTAGCATTTATCCTGAATACATCATGTGGTGGATTTCTGCTTCTGTATTCTGCACTGGCCTGGGTACTCCCTGAATATAGTTACTGTGGTAAAAGGGAAGAGGTAAGAGAGGATGGGATGCGAATCACCAAAAAAAAAAAAAAAAAAACCGATTACTTTGTATGAAGATGTGTTGCAGCACCAGAGTTTTCCAAGAGTAAAGGAATAAAATCGTTCTCCGCCGTTATTCGAGCTTTTGAAACCGATGTGCATAGATGATAAACCGATTACTTCTTTGCTCCGCTTTTGGGATTTGTAGGAAGGGAGGTGTGTTAGTGTATATCATCTACGGAAGGGTGGTGTGCTACTAGGTTCCTCTTTCCCACAACGGCTCTCACCTAATTATTATTAACCAAAGTGTGAAAGAACATATCCATCTACTTTTCACTTGCCGCTGCTTCCTGAATCCTAGGTTGATGTTACGGGTGGGATGAGCGAACCTTTTCATGTCGAAACTCTTGATGGTAAAAGTACCATTGCATCAATTGGACCGACCAACTTATGAGCGGGGGGCGGGGTTTGGTTGTTTCAGATGGACATCTTTTTCCCTGCTCTCTCTCTACTGTACTTACTAATGCACTCTGTTCATGAAATTGAATAGTTTTCCAGGATAACGCCCACATGCTCCCAAAGCCAAAGGTTGGTTGAGCCAGCATGAGTGAGCGAGAGTTTAGTAGCAAAAGATTTGCCATTCATCTATCATTTACTAGTATTTATTTATTTAATAATTAATTATCATTTTTTAAACCGTTATATATATATAGCATTAATTTTCTATATATTGATAGTGTATGTATTTTTATTATTGAATACATGACACACACACATATATATATATATATATATAATATTTATATTTATTACGAATAATAACAAACAATTAAATGTAGAAACCCGGATCTTATCCAGGAAGGACGGAAGGTGGATAGTAGTGTTTGTAGAGCATTAAGTCAAATGATTGGAAAAAGATTTTAAAAGATGCAAAGATGTCAGTCATAGAAATGCATAATCGGGCTAGTGGACAAACAGGGGATCATTAGAAGCAACCAAATTAAGGGCTCCACGGCCATGACCCAATTTCATCCATCCATCCATCCATCAATCAATTATCAATGCCATGCATAAAATGCTGCCCCTTCGCTCAGTTGAGGTGATATACAATTATAGATTACTGACATGTGTAATATAAGCGTCCCCACATAATTAATTAATTAATTAATTAATGGGGTATGCTGCAATTATAATAGTGTGCCAAGAAAAAATATATATAAATAAATTACATAAAGTCGAAGGCTCCGTCTCCGTTGCATAATTGACACACTAACAGATTGGGACACGTGGAACGATAAAGGCGTTTTATAATACTACTACCTAACTACAAAACTCTTTTTCAACGGCCGACATCGCAAACGTACTACATACGTGCATCCAACCCTCATAAAAATTAAAATTAAATAACAAAAAAACATCATTATCTAAATTCTCAGATGGTGTGCCCTTAACTTTTTGAAAATACAATACAAAATGCTTTTTTCCCAATCAAAATACTTAGTTCATGTTTGGATTGCATTTTTTGTAAAAAAAAAATACTGTAGCAATTTAATATATGTAAGATAAAAAGGTGATTAGAAAGTATATTTAGAAAAAACGTAGCAATTTTTATTTGAAAAATTACTTTCCAAACAAGACCAGTTTCTCCCCTCAGTGCTTCTTCTTTTTCTTTTTCTTTTAATATGAATGAAAATTTTGAATTTAAAACTTCTCGATTCGAAACTTTTCAAGTACACTGTCTCCTTCGAACGACATGAGCGTACAGATTTACTACGCACAGGTAGACCACAGGTCACAATTTTTGGGGAAAACTGTATGTAATCAGGTAGCATATATTTTTGTGACAGTCTTTTTCCATACAGTCTATGACATTCTCGTGTCGTTTTGCGTCTTTTTAAATGGTCTATTGTGTCATTTGTCAATTTTTGTGATACAATTACATATAGATTCTTTGTTAAAAAAAAATTTATTAGTTAGGGTAAACAAAATTGCTGATTCGATGTCCAGATCCAACCCCAGGCCCCAGGCCCCAGCCCCTCTGGTTTGAGTATTTGAAATCGGAGGACAAGAGAGGTAGTAGGGATTGCTCCGAAGAGCAAACATGAGGAGGAAAGAGGCTTGTCCATGGTGATTGTCAAACTTGTGCGATTTGAGGGATTATTCAAGGAATGCTTTGACATAAAAACAAAAAATGAGACAGTTCTCTCCGTGTATAAAAAGTTCTCTTGTTTAAATGAAAAAAAAAAGTTGTGTTCCCTTGGTTTCTCTCACTTAATGTCAATTACAAAAAAAAAAGAAGAAGAAGAAGAAGAAACGAGGCATAAACAAGTTTGGGTCACATCTATTGGGTCCAAACCCTAGCTAAAGAGGGCCATTTTGAACACAAAATCTAGACTTCGAGGTTGATGAGGGTTTTCCTGTAATAGCATAAATTATGGTTTCCAAGAATTGCAATTTCCAACAAGCATCAAAACCCATATTGCAGGTGAAATGAAATGGAACTTTGTCCTGCTTAAATAAAGCATCATTCTCTTAACTTGGATTTTGACCGAATTTTTTAATCTTCTTTAGTTGTAAAGAAGGAAGACTAGACTGCCACTTCTCCTTGTTAAAGGTTTTAGCTTTTAATCATTGACATATTTATAATGACTTTCAACATCATTGCCTACTATAAGTAGTAACCGAGCAAGCTTTGTTTGGATTCAAGAGTTTTTCAAAAATTAATTTTTTAAATGTTATTAAAATATTTAAAAAGTGCTCTCAAAAATACTCTAAAAAGTATTCTAAACTTTTTTAATGTTTAAAAAATATTTCAAAATATATTCTAAAAACTCTTCTACTCTTAAATATTTCAAAATATTTTTTAAAAATATCTCAAAATATATTATAAAAACTCTGTTACAGTGAAATTTTTCAAAAACATTTCAAAAAATAGCTAATCCAAACGAAAATTTAGAGACTCACATGGCTTCTCCCCTTATCTCTCCCTTTTTTTTTTTTTTTTTCCCTTCCCTCGAGCAGGAAAGAATTAGGAGTTAAGAAGCGGACAGAGAAAGAGAGTGAAAAACATGCGAGTTCAGCTCCTGCTTATGCTTTTATTTTTTTCCCCCTCTAATAGACAGGGTGACCAGAGGAATTACAGAAAATATTTGTGTACCTTTGTGTTTACGGAAAATGACTTTAAATATTATTGCTCTTCTTGCCATACTCTTTCTGCAACTTGCTGTATTTGCCATTTTTGTCGCTCCATATTTGATGTACGCTGTTTCCTTGAGCTCCTCAGAGGACCCATAGCACAGCATGCATCCTCAAGACAGGGTGCGCTGGCCAATCATTCTAGTAGTATAAGAATCTGGCTTAATAATATGTGTAACAGATTCCCATTTCAAATATAGAGGACAATAATAATAATATCTTTTCAATATATATATATATATATATGTGTGTGTGTGTAGAGGACAATAAAACCAATTTTGTTTGCAGGAGGGAATAATAGGTCATCTTAAAAAAAAAAAAAAGAAAATTTATAACACCAGAGGAAAAGAAAGGAAATAAAGAAGAAAGTATTAATTTAAAAGAAAAAAGGGGAAAAGGAGAGGAGTAGTGGTAGTGTAACTAGAAGAGGCAAGGGGACATGATTCTATTATGGGACACAACGACTGGGACTGGGAAACCACACCAAACTTTCCAGTTTCCAGTTTTTCCACTCCACGCCCACCAGCACCTACCAGCCCCCCCTCGTTTCAATCTCATCCTCCCATGTACTTTATCTTTTGCCCCGTCTATCTCTCTCTCTCTCTCTCGAGTCCATAATAAAGTTGAAAGCTACAAACACACCCTGTCGCTTTCCTTGCCACTCATTTTATGGCTCTTGTTCTTCTTTAACTTAATCAAATAGTTCAGTTTAGTTGTTTTTTATTAAACACTTGTGGCAAGGCTTTTAGCTTAAAAAGGAATGAGGCTTAAGAAAGAAAGTGAACAAACAGTTCCAAGTTTGAAGTTTTTTAACTCAGCAATCGTCCACCCCACCCTGCTCCGACCCCACCCCACAGACCGGTTTAGTTAGTATGTGAAAATTGAATTAGAGTGCTACTTAGTAGGCATGTTTTCGTTGCACAAGTAATAGTAGTATGTGTCTTTGAGGCGTTATCCAATAGCTGCTGTGCTGATGTAAGTGTGTAAATTATAAAAGCTCCTCCCAATAATTCCAACATGAAACACACCTCTATTGCTTCTTTTGCTCTCACTCGCGGTACCATCATGTCTCTATTCTATCTTGTTCTTGCTCTTGCTCTTGGTCTTGTTCAGCTCCTCAGCCCTCCTAGCCTTAATTAACTCTCCTCCTCACTTTCGCAGTTCTCTCTCTCTCTCTCTCGCGTACAAAAAACACCACAACGAGCGGAGGGACACACGGCTTATGACTGTCTTTTGCTAGTTGCCACTTTACTGATCTAGACTGTTATAATGGTCTCATTGTCAGAGAATGAATGGCTGAGAAGACCAAGTCAGACTTCTTCTCTTGCACTTGTCTGTAAGTCTCCCAAGTTCTTGCTCCTCCTACTTCTTCTTAGATACTTTTATTACTCTATTATTACTGCTATTATGCTGTGATCTTTTCAAGTAGTAATTCTTTGGATGTGCTACTAGTACCATATAGAAAGGGCATCGTGTACTATCTTGCTTGATCTTTTCTTGCTCAGAGGCCCAAAGTTTTAATCTTTATGCTTTCTTTGATGATGAATCTCCAAAATATCTAACTGCTTCTGCTCAACAGGCCAAAGCCAACTTCCCTGTTGATTTTAAGGTATTATAGTAGTTCTGTACTCACCACTTTCTCTACCTGCCTTTCTGGCTGTTTCTGCTGTTTCTTTTAATTGAGATGGAACTGGGAATCCGCGGGGGCTGTTCAGTGTGTCTGTCTATCTATCCACCCATCTTCGAGGGCTCTGTTCCTTTTTCACACCCTTTTCTTTTCTTTCTTTTCTTTTCTTTTCTTGCCTTCGCTAGTAGTTATGGTATATTAAGTGGTTTTGGTGATGAAACCTTTTCTAGCATGTTATTTTTTCTAGCATGTTATTAGAATGAAATTTTTTTGTGTAATGGGTAGTGATTGGATTTTTACTATTGTTGCAATAATATTATAAAAGACAAAGGACAGCTGTGATATTTCCTTTTTTCCTCTTTTTACTGCTATTACTATTACGTACATCTTTTCCTCCCTATTTTCTTTAGAGGGCCTCTCTCTCTCTCTCTCTGGGCCTGGAACTGTGACTAGTAAGATTCATAGCTGTGGTTCCTCCCTTCATAATTGGACGAAGTGGGGTTGCATTATTTACAACTTGCACATGGTTTTTGAGATTTTTCCACTTTTTGGCAGAGAACTTGACATGAATTGGGAGACATTTCTTTCTGAACAACCATCTGTAACCCTCTTCTCTCAATCCGTGGAAGTCATCTTGAATGACCATGGTCCTACAATTCTGTCCTTTTTACATGACCATAACCTTACTTTTTGCATTTTAGAATCTCCCCCTGCACCATGACTAGTGTAGATATATGTTTTAAGCAGTACTAATATCTTTTTCCTTCCCCCCCCCCCTCCCTCCTCCTCCTCCTCCTCCTCCTCCTCCTGCCTAATTTGTTTTTGGTGGTTGAGGAGTTGTTGAGGGTTTGGGATGCTGAGGCATGTCCAATTTCTTCTTTAGGCCCCAGCCTTTTGGTGGCTGTCGGACATGTAAATTTTGAAAAGGTTAGTTATGCTAAATACATCTCGAATATTCCAACTGCTGCTCATACCATTTCCTAACATTTCCAGCAAGAAAACCAATGACCTGAGCTGTATAGTCTGCACAAAACGCAAGAACTTGAAGCAGTTATACTTTAATGTTCCTGAGTTTTATTTATCTTAGAAGGATGGTTTTGGTTTCAAGGAACTAGCTCCGCAGTTTCCTTTGTTGAAGATGTTCCCCTAGAGTCTATCGAAGACCTTGACTTACACGAGGGAATTATTTGGGTTCATTTTTTAGGACTTTTAGGACCAAAACTATACTAGCCTGTTCATTGTTACACTAATTCTGAACTTTCCCCTTTTATTTTGATTATTTACACGAATATGAACCCAAAAAGAGTCTATCTTTAAGGAGTTAATGATTTTGTCTTTTTGTTTTTCTCTCCCCTCTTATCTCAACGGTTATGGAATGTTGTACCAGGTGGATAAGTTTGTCAAGAACTTGATTGTGAGGCTAATGGAGGATCCATATGAAAAGAACTTGACTGAGAGGGAAAGTTAGTCTGGGATCTCTCTTTGCGGACAATTTCTTGGAAGTTAGCTGGATTGGAGGGAGACGCTTCTTATTCTGCCTTTTTTGTAACGTGTAAATCTTGTTGTTGACTGGAGTCAAGTAGCTTACAAGTGAAGAGAGACTCAAGGGAGCTAATCTTTCTAGTTAAAGAAGCTGTCGATATTTCGAATTTGGGGGGGTTGGAAAGTCATTGAGCACCACAAATCTTGTTGATGGAATCATCGTCATTGACGGGATCATCGAAGAGGGCCAAAGCACCTGGGAATGTGACCCAAATGGCTCATTGCTTGGTTGATGGATGTAATGCTGACCTTAGCCAATGTCGAGATTATCATCGCCGCCATAAAGTCTGTGAGCACCACTCTAAGGCCTCAAAAGTCACAATTGGGGGTCGTGAGCTACGGTTTTGTCAACAATGCAGCAGGTAAACCACTTTATATCAAGAATGGTCTGCAGTTTTGCTATTGATAAATTTTAAGGAGGATTGTGATCAATTAGATCTCATTGCCTTCTTATGCTTCTTCTTTGTCTCTCTCACTTCATTTTCCCCAGTTTTTGGTAGCCGTTCCTTCACACTCTTGTGCTTTTTGTTGCCTTCAGACTCCTAACTCTTTATCTTATGGATTCCAGCATGAAGAAGGCCGATCTCTTGTTGATTGAAGCTGTGTCTAGCAATTTTAGTTATAGCAGGATGTTTGTTGGGTAGAATATCTGTAAGCTGGTATTGCTAGTTCATGGTTTACTATCGTAGACCACTTTAGTGGGTTTTGCGCCATTCAAGTTCGGTGATTCTAGTTTCATGCTATAGTATTTCTTGTTCTGGAGTTGTCTTTACTTTTTATATTTATTGTTTTTTAAAGTTGTTAGGTACAGGTCAATAACCTTTCCAATAGGCCCAAAAGAAGAAAAGAATAAAAAGTGTGGCATAAAAGTGTCAATTATTGAACCTCCTTTAATCAAAGTATCATGTATTTTCTAGGTGCCATGTGAAACTCATCAACTCCCTCCCTAATCTCTTAGTCATGAAAATGCTGATCCGCCGTTACTACAAGGTTTTACATAATTTTATAAGTATGCATTCAGAAATGTTTTTTGTAGTGGTTTGATGCTCAATGTTGATTGATGCCTTTCACATGATGAGGTATCCCTAATTGAAACCATGTGATTTTCATGATAGTTTAGCTGAGTCTGACCACAAAATGTAAATATTCCAATGAACATTTGGCAAATCATTGACTCGAGACATAGAACAGTTTCTAACTAAATTCAACTGAAAGTCATCCTATCATGAATTCAGTGTATATTTGGAGCATGTTGTGGAGCTAACGTCTCTTCTTCTAATGAATTTTTTACCTGAAAGTATTTTTCAAGTGAAAAGATATAGATGCCAGAACAATAAATCACGTATGCAACGTGTTATGACTCTTAAAGCTTGTGAGCAATGAGTGCAATGGTAGTTAGTTCCATGTTGTTATGATGCAATCTAGGTTGAGCTGCTCCCAGTAGGTGACTTACTTTCATGACTTGGCTGTGCATGGTATCCTCCATCCGTGCATGCTTTACGTGAAATTCTTTGAATTTGACACATTAAGGGGAAAGAAAGCTGTATTCACGTTGGATTGCACATGTTCTGATATTTATTCATTGCAGAATTTCAATTGTTATTGAAGATTTTCTCTCTTGTAGATTCCAGTCTGCTCGTTTCTTACTCATTGTATGCATGTGCAGGTTTCATTCTTTAGGGGAGTTTGATGAAGGAAAAAGGAGCTGCAGAAAACGTCTTGATGGCCATAATAGGAGGCGAAGGAAGCCTCAGGCAGAACTTTCCAGAAACTCTGGAATGCTTTTTCCAAGTCAACAAGGTCTGGATGAGTAAAGATCGAGCATTCTTGTTTGTTGACTCTGTTAATGCACTAGCATATTATGTGAATCGCATATTAGATACTTCATCATGATTCATTCAAGTGAACATTGAAATTTAAATGGCTACCTTTGCAGGTAGTAGTAGGCTTCTGTCATTTGGTACACCTCAAATATTTCCAAGTGCTGTGGTGAGTTCCAGCTGGAGTGGTGTTGTCAAACCTGAGAATGATGTGGTGCTGTACTGCCAATCAAACACAAATTACATAGACAGGCAAAACGCGTTCCCAGAGTCGGTTCATGACTACAAAGGAGTGAACCAGTTTCAATTCATTCAAAGCACCCCCCGCACTCTTCCTGAAACTTCCATCTGCCAACCGCTTCTTGATCCTGATTCTGCATCAGGACATAATAATAGCAGCCAAAAGATCTTTTCCGATGGTTTGAATCAAGTTATCAATTCTGATCGTGCTCTCTCTCTTCTGTCATCTGCACCCGCCGTAACTAGGGAGATTGGTTTTAGCCACATGGTGCAGCCTGACTCCATTTCCCAGGCACAGTCCTTAGTACACAATTTGCAGTACGGCAGTCCAGGCCAGTTTCCATATGCTCAGGAAATAGAAAACAAGCCAGTAATTTCTGAATCAGATTCCCGAGTGAGCAACAATGCCACCCTTCATTTCCAGGAAATGTTTCAGAATGGACCTGAAGAGTCATCTACAAGTGGTGGATCTCAGCAGACTCTAACATTCCTGTGGGAGTAGCTCTCGTTAATTGCCGTTGCTTGCACTGTGCTGACTGCGTCAATAAACTGTTGCTGTACTAGACACTAATTCTTTTTCACCTCCCTCTTAAGAATGTTTGCTGTTGCTAGATTTATCTGTGTGACCTATTCTTGATACCTGTTGAGGAAATGAAAATTTCACCATTCACCTACTTTCTTATTTCTCCACTTCCAGGTAATTCAGCCCCTCTGCAACGAGAAAAACTTCAATGCAGTTGTTCCCATCTTAAGTAGTATAATTATCTAATGGTCGTTGGAGAAAATGGAATTGCGTATCCCAGGATCCTGTGCTGAAGATTTACAATCTCCAAAAGTGGAACTCCAAATTATAATCCTAGTCTGTTGTGATGCATAAGCTGATGTGATATGCAGCCGTTGAACTGAAAATTCTCTCCTCAGCCTCACAGAGTTTGAGAACAAAGTCATACAACAGTAATTCTGCCACTTCTGCTAGTGGATCATTGTAATGAAATAATGACATAGGTTAATTAAAATCAACTGTGAAAGGAGGTCAGGCTGAGAATTTCATCTGCAAATGCGGTCTGTTTCATACGCAATCATCTGGAGGGACTTTCTTCATTCTCTGATATATGGGCTAATTCTATGTTGAGTTTCTTGATTAGTTTTATCTTTGATGAACATTTATTCACAGCAACAAGCTTCTTATGCAGGCCATTTACACGGCAGGTCTTGGAGTGGCAACTCGCTTGATCCCCACTCTTAGTGCATGAATTATCAACTCCAGTACGTTATCACAATATTGGGTTGTTTGCATGAGATAAACATCATCATCATCGAGCAGCGCTGATTGGTGATTGCTGTGTTCCAGGACCACAGGAAATCAGGGATGTATATCTTAGTTAAAGGCGCTGAACTAGTAGTTGTACTTTCTAACTATAGTTCGTCAAAGGCAGCTCCAACCGAGCCTGGCCTATAGCACCATACAAATAAGAATAAGTAAACAAACGCAAGATCTTGTACCAAATCACGGGATAGACACAGAGAATAAAAAGCGAAGCAGGAAGCCATGCATAAAGAAAGTCCACAGTCGGCTCAATCTTTCCTTGGATATGTTTTAATCCACCAACGCAATTCTGCATTAAGCATATCTCGGAAAATGGGTCCGAATCTGGAATTAAATATAAAGAGGAATATATCCAACTACAACTAATTGAGTATTATATGACTGCAAAGCAGTAATTAGCTAGGGGACCACTGATCGATCATCAAGAAGATTCATTTTTATCTTAACAACCTCAGTCCAATAAATAGTGGAGCTGCCCCCAGTAAATTGTATATAAGTTTCTAATTTTGTGCTGTAACTCAAAATGGAGATCGCCAACCGGATGCAAGGTGGAGGAGGAGGCAGCCTTCTGAAGAGCAAGCTGGTTATGTCTTTCTACAGAGCTGCTAAACCTGCACCATCTATGATGCAATATGCTACAAAGGTTGAGCCAGAGCCGCGCGCATCTTCGGCCGCGGTGCAAACAGAGTCTTTCTCACAGCCAGGCGGAGGCTTTCCTAGTTCGGATGGCTACGTTCACGGCCCTACAGGCATTGGTGGAGATGAACAAGTTGACACAAAGGCCACAAGCTACATTAATCACGTAAAGGAGCGTCGCAGACTCGAAGAATTGAGCATCCTGAACGAAGGCCTTTATAACTGATTGGTGAACTGATCAGGAAAATACATGTAGCCTTGCTGAATTTTTTATGGTGCAGTATGGTGTGTCGCGTGAAACTCAGTCACGCGAGTGACTAGTCGACTAGGAAGCAGCAGTCCAATTTTGTTATGTTACAAGAACCTTTGAAATGGAAGTCGTTTCACTTTCTGATGTGTTGTGATGTAGTTTGGATGTTTCTACTGTTGTTCGAGCTTCAAGAATAAGCGTGCAGAAGACATCATCACTCATTATATATATATATATTCCTTTGTTATGGAAGATTGTACATAGCCCCCCCCCCCCGGGGGCGGGGTATACAGTTTTCTTGTTCTGAAGCCGTGCTAATATTCCACAAAGCGATTATCTAAATTCAGTCTTGTTTTAGCATTTCTCCCCGCATAGCAAAAAAGCCTCTGCATTTGCATGCACCAGGCATACTTATTATATTACTGCTACCAAAGCTTATATATATATTGCTGATGGTTCTTAGAATAAGGAATATTTAGTCCGCACATTTCCGGAGGAGGAGGATAAAATAAAAAAGTGTTTCCTTTGAAAATGACACACTTTCGAGGCTTGTGGCGGACGAGGAATCGAATCCATGGGCTTCCAGAAGCAACTTTTTTGTTTCACTGGCTATCTTTCAATCTACGTAGCTGGACATTGTATATGGGCTTTTACTGCATAATCAGATGGTCGGACAAATGATTCAAAGCCCATTATCTATGTTAAGTACAAATCATATGCATGTATAAAGCCCAGGGCCAGCAATGACTTGTAGGCCTGGTATTTGATGCTCATGACCCATACCATTTTGCGTACACCGTACATTTACCAACACCTTAGCCCAAAAAGGAAGAAAAAGAAAGATTCTCTCTCTCTCGCTCTCTCTCTTAAAAATTTTCTAATTGATAAACAAAAAGATCCCACATCGGGGTTGTTAGGGGGATTAGGGTAGTATATTAGTTCCCTGTGAGACCTCAAGAGATACCGGCTTTTGGGGTTCTCACGGGATTCGGGTTAGTTTATTACCACAAAAGTCTTAACTTGCTTGGTAAAAAAAAAAAAATGAACAAAAAGATAACAACCCTTTATTGAGAATCTCTTCTTTTTTCTTTTGAACCGTTCAAGGGAGGTTTTAAATGTTAGGAAGGGAAGACTCTGAGAGAGTCTCGAATTAGACACTTCACGGTTAACTAAGTCGTTAATGATAATTACAGTTGTGTTAGATCTCAAGAATTTTTGGGGAAATTAATAGCGGAATTTCTTGCAGCCATAAAATATTAATTTGACAAAATTACCCTTATAGATCATTCGTAGGACATTTTAGCCTTTCACGCAATATATTCCAACGCTTACCCCTGAGAAATGAATTCTTATTCTGCTAATAATAAAGTATGATGGTTTGGTTCCAAAAAAAAAAAAAAAGGCTGTTAGCAGCTGTAACATGTCACTTGGCTCTGAGGTTGCTTTCCAAAACATGAGCAAATTTAATGACACCACATGGCTGATGCAGACATGCCAATAACATTCCTCATCCTCATGGTTGAGATTATCATTTCTCGGTTTTCTTTCAAGGATCAATAGCGGTTTTAACCTTAAACAGCTCCTAATTTGAGAACCCACCACAAGTACTCTATTTTTTTTTGTATTGTTTTGTTGTTTTTTGTGGTTTTTTTTGGGGGGTACTGCCCCTTCATCTTGAGAATCATCAGTTACAGTACAGTGGTCGTTTAGGCAGTACTAATTTTCTAATTTGGATCTCTGAACTGTCAATCAAATGTACAAACAGATCAAGCTCAACAAAGCTTTTCCTATTGTCTTCTCTATTTTGTGCAGTTTTCAGCCAGTTTTGGCCAAATTAATAACGCCCTACAAAGTGCTTCCCCCGCATTTGCAATTTTTTGTGTGATCAACAAGCAAGAATTTCTTTCCTTTTTTTTTTTTTTTTTTGGTTTGATTTTTGGGTTTGGTTTTAACTTTTAAGAGAGAGAGAGAGAGAGATTTTCAGGAGAGAGACAAACTTCAAAAGAAATTGCACTTCACATGGTTCACTCAATTGCAATACTTTCCATATATGAGTGGTCAGCAGAAAAAAGTTTTCCAGGAAACACTCACAAACACCATTTATGCAAACGCTTTGCCACCAATGGCAGTCAAAAATTGTGTGAAGTGGGCATTTCTGGCCAAAAAGATAACAAAAAAAAGTTACTTTTCTTCCTTTTACTTTTAGTCCCTTCCCCTGCTGCGGTGATGGTGCATGGTGGTGTTGTGCAATTAGTACCACGAGAGAGGGCCCACTTCACACGGATGCCGGAAATTAGCGGTATTATCTAAAATACACAACAAACTGGGGGGGTTCTCAAGAAAATGCAAAACAACGCTGTGGTTATATTATAATAGTACGTGTCAAAATAAATGAATTTTGAGCAAAAGAATTTATGCTTGGCCAAGATTCAATCAATTGGGGAGGTGAAGCTGAGATGATGGTGCAGCTGAGTGGGGGACCAATGAATTGGAGTGAAGAGAGACGAAGCTTTTTTGCAAATTGATGAACGGTACTGTGGACCCCTCACCCCCCGGGCCCCGGCGGAGAGGAGAGTACAAATCGGGTCAGATTTACAACCTTAAAAGGGCGGGCAGCATCAACATCAGATACCGGGACACGCGGATGGCCTTTCTATTTTGGGAAATTCCACTTTAAAAGCAGTAATGTAGTAATTCACATCTAATTTAATGGGGACTCGGGGCAGGGACGGTTGCAGGTGCAACCGTCCCTGCCAATTTTAGCTCATTTCAACTGCGCGTAACATTGGTTCAACTGCGCGTAACTTTTTTTTCACAGGATGTATTTTCACAACAGATAGTGATGGGCGCCACACTTGGCGCGAATTTCGAGTTACATTGTGTTATTTCAGCCGCACAAAATTTTGAGGGCCAATTTTCAGCCGCACAAATTTTTAACCGTGCAGGGACGGTCATACTGATGACCGTCCCTGCCCCAAATCCAATTTAATGGGGTTCTTTCTCCCATCCTCCCCTACCCTACCCTACCCTACCCTACTGCTCTGGCCCTATTGGCTACAAGGCCACAGCGGCTTGCTTGATAGATCAAGATCATCCAACCTAAACAACCCCATCATCTTGGGTGGGTGCGCGTGTCTCGTCCATCCGATCTATGAGCCGGAACGTCGTATTTATTGAGCGCACAGTTGTCTTCGCAAAACGTCGCAATCTCTTCTGTCCGAGTCATTGGTTGATTGGAGGGGGTTGGAACAAGGATGACCATTGGCCAAGGGCTCTAACTTTCTGCTTTTTCCTTGCAATGTGCATCTGATTGGATTTATGAGTGTGAAGTTGCTCATGAGGCATGATGATGATGATGATCCAAACCATTTCCACCACATTATACTCAATCATATGCCTAGACGTTAATACGCTTTCTCACGACGATTTAGTGAAAGATAATCTTATACTGACTCTTAGGAATAAATTATATAAGTTATTACAACACTCATCTTTTTTAGTCTTGCTTGCCATGTAATGTTCTTCCTTGTTTTTCCTTTTGGGCGGTGGGTACTACTTTAGTTGCACAGGTTAGTGGCCAAAAGAAGTCGTACCCATCTTGACGTCCGCGAAGTTCCGTACACGGCCCCTCCGCCCTCACTCTGCTTGTTCCGCTTTTCCGTCGTATTATAGGCTAGCAGAAAACAAAATTCCCGATTCATCATAAAGAAAAAGGTTACTGCAGGCTCTCGATTTTAACTTGTAAAACAAAAAGAAATGCATTATCGAGTCATCATTTCGAGCTTCTTTAGCTGGCCCTCCGATTAATTATGGAATTGAAGTTCCGGATTTAAGATTGAGACTCCACCAACGAACGTTCTTGAGGTCAGCAAGCTATAGCAGAAACAATGGACCACGAAACAGCTCTGAATCTTATATGTGTATGTGCATTGCTGCTCTATGCTCCCTCTTTATCTTCTGAGGGTAGGCTGCCTCCGTATTTGATATTTCGACGTGGGCTCCATCTCTGTCCCCACACATATACTCGATGCAGTGTATTTGGTGTCCCCACCGCCGTAAGAGGTTGAACGTCACATGTCATTTTTGGAGCTAGATGTATTGACTACAGCTACGAAGAAGCGCAAAGTGCAATAGAATGGGCATGGGGCTATATATTATTATATAATATATAATATATGGGGTGATTAAATGTCACGTGGTAGTATTCGTGTATTTAGAGTCATTCTAGGAAAAAAAAAAAAAGAAGAAGAAACATGGGAGTGTTTCGATAGCAGATTTCTCCAAATAATATTTCGCTTGTATCATAAACACATTTTTCAACCCACCTTTTTATATTTCCAATCATCTTTTTATCTCACATTCATCGCATCACAAAAAGTGTTACAGTAATTATTCCAAATAATATTTCGAATAATACTCTATCCAAACAAACCCAGTTTATCCCTGGTACTTAGACTGGGAGGCTGGACATGCCATTAATATAATGTGCTCTTGCGGCACAATCCCTCCAGCATCCAATTAAATTGACTGATTTGACTCCGTATTGCCATGTAACCAAGTTCAAAAATCAGAACCTTTAATCTCAATGAAACAACCAACTCGCCTTAGATGAGCTAATCGTGTATAAGGTACAGATTCAAAAGGATGCAGGTGTGTAATAGTACATTCTTTTGATTTAGAGGTTCTCTAACCTCTTTTAATCCGGTTGAATTTTCCTCTAAATAGATTAGAATAGAGGTGCGGTAGGTGTTCACAATTGGCAAAAAAAAAAAAATCAATGGGACAAATACTACACTAAGTAAATGATAGCTAAGATTTGAGAAGGGAAAAAGAGAGGTGCAGAGTTTAAGACTGGACGGACGAGGAATTAGAAGCTTATAGCAAAGCAATGAAGAAGAAATGATGTGCAGAATACAAGTACGCATTACTTTTCTAGGAAAAGTTTATCTCTGTTAATTCTAATTCCCATCCCTTTTTCACACAAGGACTTGTTCGAATTCAGGTTTCGGCAAGGATTTGATTCCAACTTCCCAATGCGGATTCGATTCAAATATTACGAGCAAATGCGAGCACAGGTGTGAAAGCTCGTGTTTGCAGTTCCACGTGTGATCGTTATGGCAATTCATACATTAAGAAGCTGT